ATGGCTAAAGCGTTAGCCTGCAAGAAAAAACTAAAGTTACCCAGTTTCCCCCCTTTATTTTAAATGTAGTGCAGGCATGTCTAATGTTTATTTCTGGCTCATTTCACACCAACTCCCTTACGCCCTGTCCGATCACGTCATGGGTTTCCATGAAAAAATGTAAGCAAAAACTCCAAATTAATTCAAGCAACTATATGAATTTTTAAAAAGGTATAGCATACTTCTTTACTAAATACTACATAATAGTACTACTACTAATAATAATACTAAAATACTAAAGTAAGTAGTGAAGTAAATAGTAGTACTACTAGTAATAATAATAATAATAATAATAATAACACAGTAGTATATAGTATTTTATTTCTTTCTTGAGGTCAACTTATGATGTTTGTGTCATGATTCCTTGTTTACATCATTTTCCATCCTTTTTTATCCCTTAGAATTAAACAAGCTGTTACTGTGACTTTAAGGCTGACACATGTAAATGAGCTCTGTTCTGATTGGCCACAATTGGTTCTCTGCCTCATTCAGAAAGCAGTCCGAGCTGAAACGTTCCTTATAATTTCAGTGTGAATGGGCGGGGCTAAACTATGTAGGCACATATATATGAATGGGTTAGTTCTTGTGACATCACAAAGACGTTGAACTCAAAATGGGCTGCTTCTGCAGTTTATTTTCCATATTTGGACTGTATGGACTGTGGAGTGAATGATACGTTTTGTACGTTTTAACATTGTTTACATAGTACATTAAATTTCTTATTAAAAGAAAAGTGAGGGAAAATTGTTATTTAATGATATGGGCTCTTTAAAGTTTGCCCCATCATAAATGCTGAGTTCTTACAGCATGACTGAACTGAGCAGAAACACTGACTGTACATAAATACAACACTAATATTTCACTATAAATTGTTTTATAAATGACAAATACTCACAACAGGTTTGTTTTTTAAAGGATATACTTTTAATGTTCAACGTTCCACCTTGTGAAATATAATCTTATATATATTTATCAAACTGAATAAGTTCTGCATGCAATATTTGAAGCTACACAATAATTTTAAAATAGCTTCACAACTAAAAATGTGGCCTTTTTGACCCTGTATTTTCTCAAAATGGACTAATCTTACTTCCTAAATTAAAAACATTTGCAGTATTTTGCACAGCTGCATGAATTAAACTGTTTTAGGTTCATTTTTTTAATGTAAACCCATTACATGATCAGAGAGGCCCTTGATGAGGTGAGCTGGCATGGAATGACCCCTCTTTAGTTTTAGCACTGGAGCTACAAGGCTAATATAGCTGACAAGTAATGCAAGCTATGCTAATTAGCGTGGTGCTAACTGCGTGTCTAAATCATCATAAACTCGTCTCAAAGCGTGTGGAGGTGTTCAGTGTCTCTAATAGAGTTCATTACGTGGTTTGCAACACTGTATGATGCACTGTTATCTATAAACATGCACTAAAGTACGGATACAATTCTGCTACTAGTGACTTCAGCTACATTTCTATAGAGAACAGTGTGTCATACCTCATAACTCAAAACTGAAGAAGCAAACTTCAGACACCAAACCCTGTCCTGGTTGATCGACTACATTTGGGCTAAGGTGGAGAAATTTGTGTAAAGTCGCCTTTTGGCCAAACGTTTGATTTAACAGTGAGCTTATCAGGTGAAGGGGTTTTAAAGGAGGAAGCGCATAAATGTGTGTAGAGCATTAAGGTCACTGGAACTTGGAGTGGAAATCACTGAGTTCACAGAGTTAGTGTTCAGTGCAGCTGCACTTCCTTTAGGAAAGCTGTTGTTGACCAGTTTCTGGTGGGAAAGTGGATGATTCTTCAAAACGAACAGCCCCTGTATGACCGGTGTGGGAGCTGGAGCGGAGGCTGAAAACTTCCTCTGGCTTCCCCTGAAGAAAAACATATCCAGATGTTGAAAAGCACAATTTGATTGAATCAGGGAGTAATGTGGTATGTAAGAGTGCATAAGTAAACTAAGTGGCCAATGTGTATGTGTGTGTGTGTGTGTGTGTGTATGTTGCCCCCCCCTGCCTCTTTTGTGGCTGTAACAGCTTCCACTCTTCTGGGAAGCTTTCCACAAGATGTTGGACAGAGTCTGTGGGAATTTCTGTCAATTCAGTCTAAAGATCGTTTGTGAAGTCAGGCACTGATGTTGGATGAGAGGGTCTGGCTCACAATCGACGTTCCAGTTCATCCCAGAGGTGTTCAGTGGGGTTGAGGTCAGGGCTCTGTGTGACCACTGGAGTTCCTCCACACCAAACTGGTCACACCATGTCTTTATGGAGCTGCTTTGTGCACAGGGGCTCAGTCATGGTGGAACAGGAAAGATGTAACTGTGTAAAATGTCTTTGTGCTGTAGCTTTAACATCACCCTTCACTGGAACTGAGGGGCCCAAACCCTGAAAAACAGCCCAGCCCATCATCCCTCCTCCACCAAACTTTCCTGCTGGCACTGTGGATTCCGGTAGGCAATGTTCTCCTGGCATCCACCAAACCCAGATTCATCATCAGACTGCCAGATAGTGAAGCATGATTCATTCAGAGAACATGTTTCCACTGCTCCGGAGTTTCCACTGCTCCATGCTTTCATGATGTGGCTGAAGATAAGCGATTTTACCCTGCTACTAGACTCAGTACTCTGCGACGCCGCTCTTTGAGTTTGTGTGCTTTACCGCGTTGTTGTTGCTCTTACATGCTGCCGTTTCACAGTAATAGCACTTACAGTGGGCTCGGGGCAGATCTAGAAGGGCAGGAAGGTCTTGCGGCAAAGAGGGCATCCTATGGACTCTGTAATTAATAAGGGTGTCCGGTGTAAAATAAACTCCAGCTTGCATGTAGCAACGTTCATATTTTGGCTGTTTAACAACCTCGTAATACAGAGGATGCAGTGACGTTCAGTGGAAAAATGGCAAACGTCTCACAGTTTGGACTGCAGCAGTTTTTCAAGAACTGCATTAAATTTAGCCATAGAGTGTTAGAAATAAAGGTTCTGTGCTGGTGCAATTTTGGCTCATCAAGGTACAAACAGTGTAAATATTCCCTCAAAGGTTCAACAGTGGTTTTAAGGTCTGATTGTGAACCTTAAATACGTTTTTCCAGGTGAAAAGTTCGTATTTGTACCTTTTCATAATCGAAATGTTTTAAACAGAACAGTAAAATAAAGTCCTGGAGACGAGACGGGGTGTGTGGAGTCAGTACAGCTTAGAACATATCATTTCAGTGGATTATGGTTCTGTTATGTTCCCTGACTAAAGGTACTGAGACGGACCCCTGAGGGTTCCACCCCAGTGACGAGAGGGGAACTGACCCAGCGACAGTTTGGTACCTTTATTTCTGAGGGTGTAGAGAACTAGCTTAGACCTGGAGTTCCTACAATGGGGCCAACACAGACTACAGAACGATGACGTGACCTCAGAGGTCTGTAGTCTGTTACTCTGTAGTCTACTGTTGTAGTCAGTAACTGCTGCTGTGATCCAGCTGTGAGGTCTCAAATTTAGACTGTTTTGGAAAGTGACGTCTTTGATAACTTGATGCTGAGCGTTTTTTCTGTGTGTGTTGTGTAACAGTATGTGAGAGCCTTTAATCCTGTTCTAGCTCTGCACCTCTCCACACCCTCTACCTAAACACTCTCTCTCTCTCTCTCTCTCTCTCTCACTTCCCCTCTCTCTCTCTCTCTCTCTCTCTCTCTCTCTCTCTCTCTCTCTCTCTCTCTCAAACTTCCCCTCTTCTCTTCACTTCTCTTCTCTTCTCTTTTCTTCTCTTCTCTTCTCTTTTCTTCTCTTCTCTTCTCTTCTCTTCTCTTCTCTATTTTCTCTTCTCTTCTTTTCTCTATTTTCTCCTCTTCTATTTTCTATTCTCTTTTAATTTCTCTTCTTTTCTTCTCTTCTCTATTTTATCTTCTCTTCTCTATTTTCTCTTCTCTTCTCTTCTCTTTTCTTCTCTTCTCTTCTCTCTTCTCTTCTCTTCTCTCTTCTCTTCTCTTTTAATTTCTTTTCTCTCTTCTCTTCTCTTCTCTTCTCTTCTCTTCTCTTCTCTTCTCACTCCTTTCTCTCTTTCTCTCCCTGTACTCCCTCTGTCCTCCTCGCTGTAGTGCAGTAGAAGCTGATACCACCGTGTCAGAGGAGGGTTAAAGAACATTAGTGCGCTCTGTATCTCTGTACAGTGCGAGTGTGTTAGGTTTGTGTTAAAGTTATTAATTGTGTGTGCGGGCACAGTCGGCGGGCATGCTGATGTCTGTTTATTCTGAGTGTATGTGTGAGGGTGGAGTTGTGTGATTTATGACTGTGTGCTCAGGAATGAAGGGAGAGGCTGCCTGCTGCAGACTGAGCAAGTTCCGTCGGCATGCAGCGCTCGGCCTTGTTCCGAAAACTCGAACACGACGAATTAAGTGCAAGAGGAGCCAATCAGAGCCAGTTTAGGACTCTAGTCCAGTCCACAGTGGGGCTTATAAACACTCCTAAACAAAGAAAGCAACAAAACAGCCCATAAAAACATTACTTTCCTTGAAGCTATGAGGCTAATGTAACTAGCAAGTAAGGGAACGCTAATACCAATTAGCATGGGGCTAACTCCGTTCTTAAATCATCACAGACTTTCCCTAAAGCGTGTGGAGGTGTTCATCAATCTCTAATAGACTTAATTATGTGGTTTCTGTCACTGTATGACTCACGATTATGTATATACATGGACTAAATTCAAGCTTTAAGATGATGCTACTGTTTTAGCTACACTAGCATATGTTTTTCCCTGTTTTTGAATAAAAGTGTTTCATATTACAAACCTCATAGTCAAGCCTATTAGAGATTACATAAGGAGAAGAATCACCCCACTTTTAGCACCCTGCTAACTAGTTTACATAAGCTTCCATTGCTTGTTAGCTACATTAGCCTCGTAGCTCCAGTGCTAAAACTAAACATTTGGGATAAGGGACTGTAAATTGTGCAGATTTTATTTTTTAGTGACTGTCTTCTTGTTCTCCACCAGCAGGTGGCGTGATGTCCAGCGGTCGTGACTCTGGGGGGGATTTGATTCCCCAGGACGTCCTGGAGGTGTTTGCCCAGGAGCGGCAAACTAGGAAGGGCAAAAGGAGTCGGAGGCGGAGCTCCATCAGCCGAGCCTTCAACTGGCTCAAGGGCCGCCGCAGGAAAACCCACCGAGCTAACAAAGAGATGCACATAGACCTGCTCACACCTGGAACACCTGTACCTATACCACTGCCTACACCTAACACAG